ATAAAATCTAAGAATGATACACTTAATACTTAATTTCCGAAACATCAATCAACTGTCTCAAACTTGACTGTTCCTTTAGCAAATATCAATCCATCGTTTCAGGTTTCATTGTTCGTGCATTTTCATATAAACTGCCTTCCGTTCTCATCCTTTCCTTTTCGATCTTGTACTAAAATGCATTCTATTCCTGACTATTGTTATATACTACTTATATGGATGTAAGTAGCTCACAACATAGTTCTAGAAGAATAGCATGAATTCATTTTATTTCGTTGGTACTGTTCAGCTGTTTACAACCTATGTTATTTATACATTATAATTACATAATGGGTTCAAATTACTTACATGACAGGTTTTTGTTATAAGTTATATTGAGGACATATTAGTATGGTATGGCAAGGGTGTAAATAAACTGGATAGACTGAATATTGTAAATATATACCTTATATGAAAGAACGTTCTACAACATTGATTGTGATAACAATTCAAACGGCCAGAAACAAGTGATTACATAATGAGTAAACATTAATGGGAATAAAATGAGTAGAGCTCTGTTGACAAAATAAGATTATTAATTTGAAAGATAGTTGGAATAAAGTTGAACGATGTGATAAATGCAAGAAAGAGTTCAAAGAAAAAAGCAAAGAAAGACTAATAACCCTCTCCTTTTGAACCCATAAGTCAGGTTTTTGATGCCTTATAACAACGGCTCCAACAAACTTTAAAAGGCTGGAGTTTGGCTGCTTACTAATCACCTTGAACGATTACAAGGTATCGACCTGATGTCTCTTGTATCAAGGAAATGTTTTGGTGATTGCACTATTTAGAGTATTTCTTTCTGTTGTTCTGAAGCTTTTTGGAAAAATATGCGTCCAATACATTCAATATTCTTTTATGTACATGTAATGCTGAAATGATAAAATATAACCCAAGTTAAATTTAGCACTAATTTTTTTCATTACAATTAACTACTTATTAGTAGTTCCTTTTTATGTGAATGTTTCTAAAGTTTAGTGATAACCTGATAAAATAGTTATTTTCAAGTTTTGACTTACTTTGTAAATCTTATGTACAGGTACATTTTCGTAATCTAGTTCAACAAAGAAATAGACTACTTTCTTGATGTACCTCTTTATACATGGTTCATTTTTTTAAAAACCATCAATTTACTCTATGGGAAACTTTAGTTTTACATTCAGTGGATTGTTGCTGATTCATTACATATAATGAAGAATTACAATAACTAATCACCAAATTAAGACTTAATGTATTGTTATCTAGTCGATAGTTGTGATTGAATTCAATCTATCAATTTTGCGATTTCGTCCCCCCTATAAAATCATTCAATATCGTGAATTGAATGAGTTGATGTTTAATAATTCTGGATTTCCTGGTAGTCGGTATCCATTCAATATTAATGTGCTGTTACAATCTTAATGAAATTGTTCTCAAACAGGTTAACTTTAATCATCAAAATGGTTCAACAACATACTAAGACAAATTATCACTGTCCCACTGAACTACTAATCACTGACACTTTATTCTTAATATAATATACATCAAAGAAACTGATATAGCAAGTAATAGCTTAATCAATTTGACTGCGGATGACATATAAAGTTGATTTCCTTTTTTTTTCTATTGTATATGACATGTGTTCACATCTTAAGAAGGATTATAGATGCTTAATTATATGTTAAATGTATATTTACATAGCCAGTTATTGAATTATTGTTATTAAAGACAACTTAGTTCAAACGAATCTGATTGTTGATCGAACTATAAATTAATCATATGAAAAGTGGTGTGTCCCTGAATCATTTCAGTCTATTTTGTCAGTCAAATAAATTCAAAACACGAAGTTCAGCTAAAGGGTTCTCTTTTCAACGAATATGTATGAAAAAATTTTTTTGGTTCAAGTACTAATTCCGTAAGGAAATGTGAACACAAATAATAGAAATTCTGATACGGAAATATGTCCCACTTTGGTTTTACAGGGGTGAGAGGAAAGCAGTTAGGGGTTCTATACTGTAACCTAGTCGACTATAATCATTCTACAGATCTATAGTTTGATTTTAAGGATGTATATACGATTCGTTCAAATCTACCTAGATTTCTTCACATCCAACTCCTAAAAATAACCGAAGCTCTTACCATCCGTGAGCTCAAACCAGAACTATGAGTGCAAAAGAAGTACGTCCTATCGTTATCGTTACCTTAGTTTTAATTATTATTATTATTAACGGCTACCCTAGAAAGTTTATAATTAAATACATGATCACGAAGGCGTAAATAGGAGAAATACAAACGGTGAATAAGAAATCCTTCTTCATGCAGCTAGGGAAATATTAACTCAGAGACTACGTAGGACAATACAAAAATCTTTTAACACCGGAGAACTGCGATCAGTGTTTTCTACGCACCCAATGGTTACACTGAGGCTAAAAGATGAATTATCTAGAATGGCCATCTCATTTTGTATTTATCAGTTCGACTGCTCCTATGGAGCAAGTTATATTGGTCGAAGTTCTAGGAATCTACATTTTCGTGCTCACGAACACCTTCCAGCGTGGCTTAACAAAGGTTTGATGAAGAAAGTGAACAGCTCAATATTAGCCCATTTAGTACAAACTGATCATAGTGTCAGTATAAACCAATCTTTTTCAATTATTTATAAGGTCAGTAATTTTTTGCATAAACTGATCATACTTAAAGTCCTTCAAACGGCTGAAGCAGTAGCCATCCTGATGAACAAACCGGAGCTATGCGTACAAAAGTAATATCTTCAACCACTCTACTTCCTCTGGCTACCCTCAAGGCCAATTAATCAATCGTAATCTTAACTATTGAATGACGAAATTTACCTATGACCTTTCGTAGTCAATTGTTATTTTCTCTGATATATTTATTCATAAATCTTTGTATTATTATTATCACTTTAATTATTATTCGTATTATTGGTTCAACATAATTAATAATCTACCCTATACATGATTCATCCACTTCACATTTTTCCCTTATTTGATCGAATGGTAATTGGACTATTATTTCTCTCATCCTATTTGACCCATATTTATTCTGATCATGGATCTTAAAATTTCACTTAACATATATGCAGATTCAAGTTAACATTCTATATGAGTCATATTAACATTAGGTTAAGTGTTCGCGCGTGAGACTGAAGGTCCTGGTTCCGAATCCCGCGAGCGGGATCGTGGATGTACATTGCTGATGAGTCCCACAATAGGACGAAACGGTCGTCCAGTACTTCCAGGTTTTCAATGGTGGTCTAACATCAGTCGGTTCATGATCTCAATCAAAAACAATTTTATTGTTTTTTGTTTATCATAATCCTAAATTCACATGCTTTAAACGATATACTTTACCCTTAACCTGGCCATTTTTCGGATAATTAATTTGGATATGTGAATTGTAGAATATGAAGAGAATTTATCGAAAAGAATATTCTTCGTTCATATACTAGTCTATTATTATTATTATTATTATTATTATTATTATTATTATTATTATTATTATTATTATTACCACATTCCGCCTTACTTATGTCTTAAATTCTCATTATTTTATTCATAAATGTTCATCACCTTATTTGTTTTTACACCTCTATGACCTTTAATGACCTTCAATTATTGTAACAAAAACATTTTAATCATCTTATTACATTCACTAAGTCTACTATTATTATTATTTGTATTGAGTAATCTAGTATTATAATCTTTTTATTACGTTATCTTGGTTATTTGTGTTCACATTTCACGGAACTAGTACTTTAACAACAACAAAATATTCATATACAGACGATTGTACAGCTTGATAATAAATTCGTTGAAAAGAGATCACTTCGCTGAACTTCATGCTCTTAATGTTTGAATGGGAATTATCAGAAGGGGTTTTGTAGAGATTGTAGTAATTTCATTAATTGAAATCACGAGTCAATTGAAGCTCGATCATCATGGAAAACCTGAAAGCACTGGACTACCGTTTCGTCCTACTGTGGGACTCCTCAGCTATGAGCATCCATGATCCTGCCCCCCTCGAGATTCTAACCCAGGATCTATCAGTCTCTCACGTGCGAGCGTTTAACCATTAAACCACTGAGTTGACCGGCATCCAACAGTGTTAATGTCTAACTTCAACCAATCCACGAAATAGCACCACCGTACACCATTGTCTTCAGTGAGCTGATATCTCACAGTAGACCTGGATGAACTCCCCTGATTACTGATTCTCACTAGATTTCCAGGAAATTCCTCTTGAAGTCAGTCACTAGTGAGCAGACGATTATTATCAGAAGGGGTTTTGTGGAGTTCAACCAGGTCTGTTATGAGATACCAGCTCACCGAAAACAATGGTGTACAGTGTTACAATTTCGTGGGTTGGTTGAATTTAAGCATTAACACATTGGATGCCGGCCGGTTCACTGGTCTAGTGGTTAAGCGTTCGCGCACGCGAGACTGATAGGTCTTGAGTTCGAATCTTTGTGGTTGCGATCATGGATGTGCACTGTTGAAGAGTCTCATAGTAGGATGAAACGGTTATCCAGTGCTTCCAGGTTTTCCATGATGTTCTAGCTTCAATTGACTCATGATTTCAACTATTTAAATGGGAATTATCTGTCAGTTAAATAAATCTTTATCATCAATCTTTAGTTTTACAATTCGCACCTTTTCTCTTATGTTTCAGTTGCTATGTCGATTCAAACTAGGTTAAATACTTTTGTTTGTTTTTTTAGTAAGAACATTCACAATCCGTCTGGAGTCCCCTTCGGGGGGCTACTGCCGGTCCCAAGCCCGGATAAAGGAGGAGGGTTGGGCATGGGGTTAGCGACCCCATCCCGTAGAAAACTAACTCGCTAAAAAAACGCTAACCAGAAAAAAATTATTAAATTAGATAACTCGAATAAATCAAATTTGTTTATTATTCAAAATTAACGAAACACTATTTATGTAACATGATATTAATTACTCAAATAATATAATTTATGACGTAATCATTGTAATTCTTCCATCAATTTTAGGAGCTATTAAATTTGCAATGGATTTTTCACGTTGTTCTATTAAAGCACATCGTGCTGTATTCCATCGAGATGTGGCATTATATCGATTACAATGATCATTATTATCATTATTATTATTAATTGATTGTTGCATTAATTTTTTCCTTTCCATAAAAGGTATTAAACATTGACGATGACGTGTATGTGATTGTTCAAATCCATTGAGTACCTAAATAATTAAATAAATAAAACACAATTTATATTAATGATACATTTAAAACATTCTATTAGTCCTATTGATCGATTTTCATTGAACTGTCATTGAAATTCTTGGGAAGGACACTTTTCATCATTTGGAATATATATATCTTCATCAAGTTTCATAATAGAACATCAAGGTTTTGAAAGAAGTGACGTTCACTTTTCAATAAGTGACTTAATGTTCAACTTTATCGATTACTATTATTGCACAAGAAAAAAATTGTTCAATTACTTCCAGTCTATGAGAAATCCTACCATTTACAGTAATACTTCACAACAGTTACTAAATACATTTCATATCAGAAGGGTTTTTTGTGAATGTTATAGTACTTCCAGGTTTTCCCATGATGATTTAACTTCAATTGATTTATGATCTAAACCATTGAAATTAAATACATATGCCAAAGTTAAAAGTGAATGATATGAAGCAATAAAGCATATAAATATTTAACACAGTGAATCTATATTTCTTAAAATGAAACTTAAAGAAACATTCAAGGCTTTCCTGAATAGTCATTGAAAAGTGTCATTGTAAATATAGATCTAACTAGAATAAGAAATTAATAACTTCATTAACTACATTCCGATTCGAAAATCAATTCATTTTAAATTCGGAACGAACGAAAGGTTTGATGGATAACCAAAGCAAGGATTATGTAACAGATCGAATAGAATGATTGTAGAAAGTTCTCTTCATTATCAGATTTTAACTGAATAAATGTTTATGATTAGATTTTATCAGTGTTATGGTTAATAGTAAGCAAAACTATAGAGCATAGCTAGTTTGTAATGATTTGAATCCTTTCGTTAGACATCAACACCGTTGGATGCCGGCCAGCTCAGTGGTCTATAGATTAAATGTTCGTACACAAGACCGACAGGTACTGAGTTCGAATCTCGAGAGGCGGGATCGTCCATGTGCATTGCTGAGGAGTCCCATACTAGGACGAAATGTCCGTCCAGTTCTTACGGGTTTTCCATGGTGGTCTAGCTTCAATTGACTCATGAGTTCAACTATTAAAATCACTATAATATCCACAAAAACTCCTTCTAACAAAAGGATACGTATTATTAGAATTACGATGTACATCGGTGAGTAGCAAAATAGATAGGTAATATAGAGTATGAAATAGTACACACAAAAAGTATCTTAGATTTTCGTAGAAACAAATTATAGTCTCAACGACAGATAGATTAATTCTATCGAAGTATTTATAATTCCCAAATTTTAAATTCTAGAAAATTGACTTCAGATTTGTTTCTACGAAAATCCAAGATAAAGTGAATCATTGCATACTTTTTATATGTACTATTTCGTACTCTATATTACTAATGTATTTCGCTGCTCGCCGATGTACATCGTAATGGTGGGATTATAATTTATAGACGAGTTAATCATAAGCGGGTAAGTGGTTTCAGGGTCATGGCGCCTATTTCAATACCCAATGTTGACGTACGATCGGTCCAAAGTAGATTTCAAGGAGAACATTATAGTTGAACATCTACAAAAGATGGGATTACTTCTTGATCGATCCTGACAATAATTATTGAGTGATCGCCAGTTAGAAGTTATCAGTCCAGTCAATAGACATCTAAATAATGTACATTCTTTTCGCTACATACTACCAGTAACCACAATATCTCGGATTAGACCTTTTGTAACTTGTACAACAAAAAGTTGTACACTTTTCAGAAATGCACTTGTTGAAATATCTAAATAGCAGAAACAGGTAGCCCAGATGTTCAAGGAGGCCGACATTATTACACAATGAAAATATGAAATTAGACCAAAGGCTAACGGTAAATTTTGAGGGTATGACTATAACTATTCAAAGAAAAATTGTGACTGATTGAAATGTATGTATTCCATCAGTTGGGTACCCATTTTGTCCGCCTAAATATGTTTAAAGATATGTTAACCTGAGAAATAAATTATCTCTACCTGTAATCATATTTGAAACTTGAATCTAAACTAGTGAGACAGTACTTATTAAAGCTTATTGTTATTAGAAAATTATTGGTTTTAAACCTGTTTTAAAATAACAATAACCGAATATATCAATTTTAAAATGATTATGTTATAACTTGTGACCTGTGTGCCCTGTTAATGTATAGTGTAACGATACTGCCAATTAGAGAGCAGTGAATTATCGACCGGACCAATGACGCACAAAACAAGTACGAGTAGTCTATAGTACTTATTGATCCTGCTTCCTGTCTAGCCCAGCCAGTTAAGTCTAGAACACCAATCTCAGCCTCTGAAATATGAATCATTTATTTCAAACATACTAGGTTTATATACCAATCATACAGACAACGTTGTACCATAAAATAGGAAACGACATTGGTACATGATTTGGCCAAATGTGGTTGTGAATGTTGGAGATAGTAATTGATAGACTGGGGGATAACTCAAGATCAATAAATGGCATAATAATAGTTCATAGGTCAAAATAAAGCTCATAATAAGAGGGACATGAATATGTATGTACGATAAAGCTATACGTATAGTATTGATCCATAAATGGAACCCAAAAGTTATCATTCATTACGCTTATCGGGACATAACAGATTAATTTCACATAGAGACAAGTTTAAGAAGTGATGTATTAGAAGGATTTGGAAATTTGTTCATTAATGTTAAAGCCGAATGTAAACAGTAAAGTTAAACCATAGTTGTTTTTCAATATTAATCGTTATTGACTTTTCATATTACTTGTCTGGTCATAATATTTTAAAGTTCCATTCTAATAATATAACAAAAAATTTTTATATGCTTTTAAATTCACTTGGTATTGTTTTGCTTGTATCTTCCTATTGAGGTTTTTAAGACTGCAATTGATCAGTCTCTTATTGGCATATGCGCATCCTGTGCCTCGATATAGCCTTAATTCACAAGCATTATATGCAAAGATGGATAGTGAATAGCAGTGGAATCCAGGACGTGTGCCACTTCGTCTTATTTGAGACTCGTTAGTTGGATGTACCTGCATCGCAGAGTTGCTGTCCACTTTGGGACTCGAAACCAGTACATTTGCAGGTCCATCCAACTGACGAGTTGCAGACAGGACGAAACGCGTGTCCTATATTCCACTGCTAGCCGCTATCCATATTTGCTTAAAAATATTATATACTAATAAATAAATAGTATTTGGCTAATTTGTTTTTTTTATTAGCTAAATAATTGAACAAAATCGTATTTAGTTACATCATTCAGGCATATATTAAAACGTTCATTGATTGTTAGTTATATAAAGAGCGACTAGATTACAGTCAGATCAGTCACAGTAGGGAGAACATAAAGTTCAATTTCAGTTTACAGTCGTGTAACGGTTGATATAACTAGAATTTATTTGAAATCAGTAATTATAGTATTTCGAATAGTTAAGATCATGAGTCAATGGAAGCTAGATCACTATGGAAAACCTGGAAGCACTGAATGGCCGTTTAGTTCTATTGTAGGACTCCTCTTTGGCAGTGCACATCCACGATCTCGCCTCGCGAGATCCCAACTTAGGTTCTATTATTACATAATATAACAGAAATCAGGGAAGTTTATAATGAAAAAGAGCTCATTCCACCTTCTAAACACTAAATACAATGTTCAAAGTGATTAGTAAGCATTCTGACTCTATCTCATCAGAGGAAGCCATAACACTGATGATGTTATTATTTAAAAGAATATATTAGTAAACTTTATAAATAAATGACGTATTTCAGAGAATACAATACATTCAATATCTTCATCATAAGTTACAATTATTCTTCGTTAACTTAAACAAACCATAACTAATTTGATCTAGAATTCAATATCACATCTTTTTCAATACACTTTATTTATATTCATTTAAAATGACAACTTACTTGGATAGTTCTAAAATAATTTTGTATTATTATTAGTTATAGTATTTTCAGTAATTGAGATCATGAGTCAATTAAAGCTAGACCATCATAGAAAACCTGAAAGCACTGGACTACCGTTTCGTCCTACTATGGGACTCCTTTCTAACAGTAAGAATCCACGATCTCGTATCCCGCGAGGTTCGAACCCAAGACCTGTCAGTCTCGCACATGCGAACGCTTAACCACCAGACTACTAAGCCGGTTGGCATCCCACAGTGTTAATGTCTAACTTCAACCAATCCACAAAATTGTGCCAACATACACCATTTTCTTCAGTGAACTGATATCTCACAACAGACCTGGTTGAACTACATTGGTAACGGATTCTCACTAGAACTCCAGGAAATTCCTCTTCAAGTCAGTCACTAGTCAGCAGATGATTATTATCAGAAGGGGGGGGTTGTTGTTGTTGAGATTTTTAGTAATTTCAATAGTTCAGATACATATACACTGATGATGTTATTATTTAAAAGAATATATTAGTAAACTTTATAAATAGATCATGTATTTCAGAGAATACAATACATTCAATATTCTTCATCTGAAGTTACAGTTATTCATTTGATCTAGAATTCAATACACTTTATTCATTAAAAAATGATAACTTACTTGAATAGTTCTAAAATAATTTTGTATTAATATAAATAGTATTGGACATTTTTCATCATCTAATAATAATTTACATTTAGGAAATATATGATAACCATCATTTCCATTATATAAATAATCAGTTATACATAAACGATAATTACGTTTTATATTGATTGATTCATTTTGTATAGTGAGTTCATCAATTAAAATTCGTTTACCAATTGGTTTGATTGGATTAAATGTAAAACGAATACCACCAATCATTGGAAAACGTCCTTTTAAATGAATATTTAATAATATTGATTATTGAATATTATAAATTATTGAAATATATAACATTGATATATTAGAATTATTACTATAGTATTATTATTATTAATGTAAGATTTGTAATGTTATTTATTATTTATTTGAACACATAGATATTGGTACACGGAGTCACCAAATACATATGCGCCACACGAATCTCAATTGATTTGTGTGAAGGCTGTGATACTGCACGGGTGCCCAAACCGAAGCAGATAGTTTTTTTAGGGGACTACATCCCGAGCCTTTGACCTAGAGGTCTAACCTACAAGGTAGTGGAGCATCGTAAGGAAATGCAGTCCCATGGTAGCCGGTGACCAACGATTGGTTCATACACCATTTGTTCCTTCAGGATACTGGAGCCCATGTGCACCAATGGTTTGGGATCCGGTTAAAGCACTGGACATTCGCTTTTCGTCCTCTCATTTTCGTAAACAACAGAAGGCAGTGAGTAGGACTTCCGTGGCAACGGCTGTATACGCGTGGCCGTGTGAGAGCATTTCGAGAGGGAGGGCGGGCCAACCCTATTCTCCTCCATACCTGGGCATTTGTAATGTCGGTTGACATGTTAAGCCTATATATCTTATTCTAACTTTCAGACAGGCCAATCTATTTATTCTAGTTGAGTCACATTTTGACTTTGTTAATTATTCGCTTATCAATCTTGACTGCTTTTACATGAGTGCATATATATGTGTGTACATTTCTTATCCCAATATTCATCAAACGTCTGTAGCTTAGTTTTATGTGACTATAAATATTGATTAACGCTTGACTAAATGAAGTTTGCCTACTCGTCATCTTCACTACGCGTCGTTTCGCTTCTCTTTATTCCATTTGCTTCATATACAAAATATATCTATTCAAAAGTCCATTCTCATTATTTGATTTATTTAATTCCGTTATTGACTAACGCAATGATTCTATACGAGAACAGTCAACATATATATTTCAATAAGAATCATTCATACGATCAAATTGGAGTCAGAACTCAGGCCACTAAAGTGGAGAGCCCGTCTACAAACATCGTCCGATCTAAATGACGACAAAATAAAAGGCTCCACTAATGATTTAGAATTATGTCATGTTGGAAATGATTCTTAATGATAAGGTATACATAAATTTAGACCCCAAATGCTCTGGTACGACCGAGAGTGGGGAGAGTTAGCTCTCCCGCTCGAAATGCGCTCACATGGTCACGTGCATACAATCAATGTCAAGGAACTTCTACTCACTGCATTATTGTTGTTTACGAAAATGACAGGACTAAAAGTGAATGTCCAGTGCTTTAACCGGGTCGGTGGACACGGAGAGTCCACCTAGGGGCGATTGTGAAACCCTCATAAGCTGCAGTATCCTGAGGGAACACATGGCGTACGGACCTATTGTTGTTCATAGGCTACCATACGACTGCATCTCCAGACGTTGCTCAACTGTCTTGTGGATTAGACGTTTAGATTGAAGGCCCTGTGTGTGGCCGTCTAAGAAAACCACCTACTTTGGTTTGGGCACCCGGACAATATCCCATTCTTCGAATAAATCAAATGATTTATGTGGCGCCTATCTATTTGTTGTCTCCTTGTACCAATGTTTGTATGTTTAAGTAAATAAATAAGTAAAATCGACGTCAACTAACGAACGTAATAGAAAATCAGATTTTCCATCCTAGCTTGAAACTCTCTGGTAATGCTCAGATATAACTTCATATTGATGTAAACTGTGAACATTAAAACAAACCGTGATTAAGACTAGCTCTAATTCTATCTAAAAATTGTGTTGTTTATTGCCTAACAAAGAAAAAGGAAATAGTGATTGAATTTTCTATGACGAAAAACTGAATTCCAATAGTTGAGATCATGAGTCAATTGAAGCTAGACCACCATGGAAAACTTAAAAGCACTGGATGACTGTTTCGTCCTATTGTGGGACTCCTCCTGAGCAGCACGCATCCATGATCTCGCCTCACGAGGTTCGAACTCAGGATCTATCGGTCTCGCGTGCGCGAACGCTTAATATCTAAACCACTGAGCCGATCGGTATCCAATGGTGTTAATGTTTAACTTCAACTAATCCATGAAATTGAGCGACACATCCATCCATTGAGTTACTATTGCAAAAAATTAACCTGATAAATCCAGACAATGTAAGCTGTGATTGGATAATGAGTGAAGTCAAACATAATATTATGTATCATACAAATAACAGACTAAATTTATGCTGTAAATGGAGTTTTTCCAATATCAGTTTGCTTAATGACTGTAGATTTTCGATTAAGCTATCAGATAAGAGTGTTTATGAACCTCAAGACTTGTGTTAATCCAAAAGTATCATAACATATTCATATGAAATGATTCTCAACATAGATGTGAGAAAAAAATTAATTGATTACACATAATAATAGTAATACTAACCTTCAGATTTTGGATATTCTGATACTGAGTTTTCCAATGCTTCTATTAATTGACTACCAGTTATTTCAATAACTGATAATTTATCTAAATATGGTAGTATAGTACTTAAATCACGCAAAGTGAATAATCCAGCTTTAAAAATTCGATCACCTCTTAAGGTACCAGTGTTGAATAATACACAATCAACTTCTACAGCTGTTAATACTATATCACAAATGAAATTGCCAATAACTGATTCTTTTAAACGTACTATATTGGATCTAACATCAAGGTCAGTTTCAATTCGTCCCAATGGTATATCCAGTTTCTCTTCTAATTTTTTAGTAGATTTAATAACGAGTTCTTGAACCTTTTTAAAGAATAGAATAAGAGAGAGAAATTGTTTTAATTATGGAATTTAATAATTGAAATCATGAGTCAATTGAAGCTAGGCCACTATGGAAACTTGAAAGCACTGGATGGCCGTTTTATCCTAGTATGGGACTCATCCTCATCAGTGCACAACCATGATCCCGAAAAGAGGTAATCGAACACAAGAGATTGAGCGCGAACACTTAACCTCCAGACCACTGAGTCAGCACCCAACGGTGTTCAGGTCTGACTTCAAGCAATTGAATCTTGAAAAATATTCACATATAATACATAAAATATAATTTGAGCGAATAAGAAGAAAAATTCTTTCGATTAGTTCATATTTCAAAGGAAAATTTCTTAGGTTAATTTATACTTTCAATATCATAATTGGAATCGTTGAATCAATGAAATGTTATGAATATTAAACCAGCGAAAGAAGTTTGTAAATTTCATAAATAAAAAGTACATATATTAAAATTGAGCTATTTTATTTATTTATTCAAATATATAAACATTGGTATAAGAAAGCGCCGAATACATATGCGCCACACAATTCACTTGACCTGCGTGTATGCTGTGATAGTACACTGGTGTCTAAACCGAAGTAGGTGGTTTTCTTAGGAGGCCATACACGGAGTTTTCGATCTGAAGGTCTAATCCACAAGATGGTGGAGCAAATTTAGGAAATGCAGTCCCATTTTAGCCAGTGACCCACTTTTGATTAGTGTTCCATACTACTTATATCTATCAACATGAGTAGCATACACCACACTGGTACTTTATCTTAGTCTATTCACCTTCTTTTTCTAACTTACATTACTTAATTTCGCCTGTTACTCCTCGTGAAGGAGCATAGGCTGTTCACCAGAATTCTCCATCCAACCCTGTCCCAAGCAATCCTTTCCAGTTCTTATTCATCCCTTTCATATCCGCTTCTATTTCCCCAAGTAATGTGTTCTTTGACCTTCCTCTTTTTCGCTTCCCTTCAGGATTCCAAGTTAGTGCTTGTCTAGTAATGTAGTTTGATGATTTCCTCAATGTATGTCCTATCCATTTCCATCGTTCTTTCCTTATTTCCTCTTCAGTTGGAAGCTGGTTGGTTCTCTCCCACAAAAGGCTGTTGCTGATGGTATCCGGTCAATGGATGTTGAGCGTCTTGAGTAGACAGCTATTGATAAATACTTGTACCTTTTTGATGGTGGTTGTTGTAGTTCTACAAGTTTCAGCTCCGTACAGTAGAACTGCCTTGACGTTCGTATTGAAGATTCTGACTTTGATATTGGTTGACGGTTGTTTGAGTTCCATATGTTCTTTAATTGAAGGAATGCTGTCCTTGCTTTGCCAATCTTCGCTTTTACGTCTGCATCTGGACGTTCCTGTTTATCGATGATGCTTCCCAGGTATGTGAAGGATTCCACATCTTCCAGAGTTTCTCCATCAAGAGTGATTGAATCGCTGTTCTCCGTGTTGTGTTTGAGGACCTCGGTTTTCCTTTTGTGTATTTTGAGGCCTACTGATGCAGAGACTGCTGCTACGCTGGCTGTCTTTGTCTGCATTTGTTCGTGTGTATGTGATAGGAGGGCTAGGTCATATGAGAAGTCTAAATCGTCCAATTGGTTCTGAATTGTCCATTGTATGCCGTGTTTTCCCTCAGATGTCGAAGTCTTCATAATCCAATCGACCACCAGAAGAAAGAGGAAGGGAGAGAGTAGACAGCCTTGTCTTACTCCGGTCCTCACTTGGAATGCGTCTATCAGCTGTCCTCCATGCACTACTTTGCACTGTAGTCCGTCGTATGAGTCCCGGATAATATTGACAATCTTCTCAGGAACTCCGTAGTGTAGAAGAAGGTTCCATAACGTTCTCCTATCTACACTGTCGAATGCCTTTTCATAATCAATGAAGTTGATGTACAGTGACGAGTTCCACTCGATTGATTGTTCGATGATGATCTGTAGTGTCGCAATCTGGTCTGTGCACGACCGGTCCTTACGAATCCAGCTTGTTGATCTCGAAGTTGAGCGTCTACTGCGTCTTTCATCCGGTTCAGCAACATTGTTGAGGACTTTTCCTGGTACTGACAGTAGTGTAATGCCTCTGTAGTTTTCACATTTGCTCAGATCTCCGTATTTTGGAATCTTGATGAGGTGTCCTGTTTTCCAGTTCATCGACACTTGTTCCTCCTCCCAAATCTTCTTGAATAGAAGATGAAACATGTTTGTCGTTACTTCGATATCTGACTTCAGTGCTTCAGCTGGTATATTGTCGGGTCCTGCTGCTTTCCCGCTCTTGATTTGTCTGATGGCCATTCTGATTTCTTCTGTCGTTGGTGGATTGACATCTATAGGAATGTCTGTGTGTGCTGCTTCGATGTCCGGTGGATTGATTGGAGCCGGCCTATTCAGGAATTCCTCGAAGTACTCTGACCATCTGTTCCGCTGTTGTTGAATTTCAGTGATTTGCTTCCCTTCTTTGTCTTTGACTGGTCTCTCTGGTTTACTATATTTCCCTGCAACTCCCTGAGTGTGTGGGGCATTTTCCTCTTCGTGACCGGAGTATAGCAGCATCTATCCCGTATTTAGCCTTTGTTGTCCAGCTTGGGTCCAATGGGTTTCGCTGATTCCGAGTACTGCCAAGTTGCATCTCCTCATTTCCGTTGCTATTTGACTGGTCTTCCCGGTCTCCCACATTGTTCGGACGTTTCATATACCTATAAAAATTGTTGCTCTGGTTGTTAGAAGGGACATCGGCCTCATAGCTTCCGAAGGATCTCGGCTTTCACCATGAGGCGTCATATTTCTTCTAAATGAAGACCTTCTAACTCCCAGGGCAGAGTTTAAATGGTTCGAGTTATCTTTTCTGGTTAGTGTTTTTTTAGCGAGTTAGTTTTCTACGGGATGGGGACGCTAACCCCATGCCCAACCCTCCTCCTTTATCCGGGCTTGGGACCGGCAGTAACTCTAGGAGAGGTACAGGCGGACACTAATTTAATTGTCATAACAAAGGATAGTAGAAAATAACTTGTAATACATAAAAAAACGGCTTATTCACCTTAGTTTGTGCAAATGAGTAACAGTATTCTTTGGTTAGCCATCTCTTTCTAATAATTTACATTTAAAATGAACAACGCTTACTCAATGATTTTAGAATAAATGAACGTTACATTATGGATGTTATCGAACACCCGTCACATACATAAGAACTTTCGTCTAAATTTGATCGAATAGTTTCACAGTATTTGAGTGTCAAGTTGATGTGAGACATTAAATAGGAAGAATGTATTTGTAAAATGTCAGCGAAAGAATTTGAAGCAAATCTAACGTTTTCATCTGGCAATCTAATCTAAGCTTTTTCAAGGAAATATAACCAAACATCAAAATCATCAAATATAAATAGGGACACCTACATCTTCGTTTACTATAATTCACTGCCGTTAGAAGCCTTTTATTTGATATTTTAATATCCACTAATATCTGACTAAATAAGAAATTCTGGTTTAACTATCTTATGAAAGCCTATGTCGGTAAGTAATTCAAAAAAGATCAGGATAAGTTTGTAGTCAACTGAATACTGATGTAAATTAGTTCAAATCTCAATGAGACTAGAGACGTATTATAATTTTCCAGTAAAACGTTATCTTCAGTTACTAGTACTTACGGTGAGACTATAATTTATGGACGACCTTTGAGTGAGGTTAAAGTTACATTGAGGGTATCCACCTACTTGGTAGAGCTAAATGAAAGTGATAAACCCGTATGAAGAATAAGGATTATGATTTGTATTTAATGGTTAGGTTTATGAATTAAATTTAAAATGTTCATCATGAACTGACAACAGCTAAAATCTCAAAACACTCTTTAACCAAATAAATGAATGAATTTTGCGCCAAAGTCCAAGACATGTTATGTCATATCTTATTGATTCGTCCATAAATTATAGTCTCACTGAACAAATAGAAATGTAAAATTTACTCAACTTATATATCAGTCAACAACAGATTGCCCTCAAGTGCCCTGGTACGGTCTAGAGTGGGGAGAATTAGCTCTCCATCTCGAAATGATCTTACATGGACAAGTGTATACAACCACTGTCACGGAAGTCCTACTCACTGCCTTCTCGAGTAGGGGTGTTATTTACAAAATGAGAGAAGGAAAAATGAATGCTGGGTTGGTCAATATGGAGGATCTACCTAGGGAAGTTAAAAATCCTTGATTCAAAACCAATGGTGTACATGGGCTCCAGGATCCTAACGGAACAAATGGAGTATGAACCAATTATTGGTCATCGGCTACCATGCGACTACATTTACTTACGTTGCTCTACTACCTTATGGATAAAACTTTTATATCAAATGATCAGAGTGTTACCCCCTAAGAAAATTACATGTTTCAATCTGGACACCCGGGTAACATCACAGCATACACATAAATCAAGATATTATAATATATTAACGTTTACTTACTTCATTATCTGGTTCCCATCGACTATCAATCAATACTTGTTCAATATCAATATTCAATATTTTATAATTGATTTTATCATATTTTATATATAAATGTGAAAATGTTTTATAATCACTACCACTTTTTATAATTAAACGTTGAATATTTATTTGATTTTTATCTAATAATAAATTTGTATCAAAACCAATGGTGTATATGGGCTCCAGGATCCTAACGGAACAAATGGAGTATGAACCAATTATTGGTCATCGGCTACCATGCGACTACATTTACTTACGTTGCTCTACTACCTTATGGATAAAACTTTTATATTAAATGATCAGAGTGTTACCCCCTAAGAAAATTACATGTTTCAATCTGGACACCCGGGTAACATCACAGCATACACATAAATCAAGATATTATAATATATTAACGTTTACTTACTTCATTATCTGGTTCCCATCGACTATCAATCAATACTTGTTCAATATCAATATTCAATATTTTATAATTGATTTTATCATATTTTATATATAAATGTGAAAATGTTTTATAATCACTACCACTTTTTATAATTAAACGTTGAATATTTATTTGATTTTTATTTAATAATAAATTTTTATCATATAATAAATTATCATTTAATTTAATCCATTCATATTGATAATCATGATCATGACCACCAAGTATTAAATCAATTTCTGGAACATTCATAGCTAATAAACGATCATTTAACCATCTCATATGAGTTAATACTATAATGAAATGACATTTTTTTTTAATTTTTAAATATGTACCCAATTTTCGACTAGTTATAATAATATCTTTTACATCAATTATTGATGTAGTAAAACATGGTATTACATTAATCCATTCTTTTTCAATTAAACCAATAATTCCTATTTTAAGATTATTATGTATTATAATTTTATAGAATAATTTAGTACCAAGTAATTCATTTAATTCTTTATCATAAACATTACTATTAATCCATGAAAAATTACATTGATTAATACATTTATAAAAATTATTCATACCAAAATCAAATTCATGATTACCAAATAATGAACAATTAATAAACATTTTATTCATAATAGGTGGAATATGTTGACCTTGTGTTATATTACTTATATATGATGGACTTAAACAATCACCTGAAAATAAAACAATACTTTGTTTACCAGCTCCATGTTTTTTTAATGCTGTTGTAAATCTAGCTGCACCAGCTAATGGTTCTTGTTTTTGTTCTTCAACATTATATACATCATTAAAATGTAAAATATGTAAAATATCAGTATCCATTTGTAAGAATCATTGATTGATTATTTGGTGAGGGTGGTGGAGGGAATTTGTAACAATATTCACTTTACAATTTTCCTTTTTATTTATTTATTTTTTTTAAATATTTTCATTAATGAGATTCTAGTTTTATAGTATTTATTTAATTATTTTGTATTTTAATTGGTTGAAATAATCTTTATTTCAATTGGTTGAATTGATTTTATTCAGTATAGGATTGTGAAAATGATTGAATTTTAATGAAGATTATGAGTGGATCATTGAAAACATAAAACCATTGGATATGTGTTTCATCTCAGTATGAGATTTGTCAGCCGTTCATATCCACAATCCCGCATGTGAACTCTTTGGCCTTTAAACCAACGATGCTAATGTTTAACTTTAATCGATTCATAATCTTACACGATCGTCCTCCATTGTCTTCAGTGAGTAACTGTCTCATATTGGACATGGTTAAACTTCACTGGTCACGGCCTCTCAATATAAATTCAGGAAGTCAGTAGTCAACACATGATAATTATCAGAATAGAATTGTTGAGTTTTAATTGAGATCATGAGTGGATCAATGTTAGACTACCATTGGTTGAATATATCATTACCAAGGTTTGACTTGATCATTTCAAATAAATTGAGCATGAGGTAGATTGTTATAAATAAAAACAATATATTTTTAATATTCCTATGAGTAGAAAAATCACATTTTCTGACCTTTCATGACTCAGTATGAGCCACTTATTTAGAGAATAAATAACCAAATCAAAATTAATCCAAGTTTCAATAGTACAAAAGAACAAAACAAGAATATTACGTGCGATCAATCAAAAAACAGGTCTGCAAGTCAACGTCATGTCATTTCGGTCAAGGTTATTTTTAAGCGACATGTATGTAAATTTATGTGTGTATATGTGTGCAGGGTCAGGGATGAAAAAAAAATGTGACCTTTGTGATGAGAAAGGATAGGAGTTCACGCCATATTCAATAACCACCAAATCGATATTAAAAACATCAAAATATTACAAAAAGGCTTTTGCAGCTACAACGAAAGGAGAGTACCTGAAGCTTTCCATATAATCCTTAATCCTAGTGCTCTCATTAGAAAAGAAAGCCTCATTATCCATCTGACTTTGGACTATCTATCCAAGCTACCACGTCCGATATTATTCACATTTCACACTATTATCGTACATACAAATTAAACTCTATCCTTTCTAATAATCTTTATAGGAAAATTGGTTGGTTAAGCACCTGGCGCGAGACTGATAGGTCCTGGGTTCGAATCTCGCGACGCGAGGTCGTTGATGTGCACTGCTGAGGAGTCCCACAATAGGACAAAACGGCCGTCCAGTGCTTCTAGGTCCTCCATAATGGTCTAACTTGAATTGACTCATGATCTCAACTATTGAAATCATTTTATTTACACCATTGGTTGAGTTTGATCCGAAGACAACAGTCTGGATATGACTAAAATCTGCATGGCTTAGTAGTGTGTAATAAGTTAACACAACGTACTGAGATTAACCGACGAGATAAAGAATTACATAATACTAAATAGAACATTTATTAGTCTATATATGAGGACAATTTATATGGTCAATAATTGGCATATGTCTACTCATTTGTTTTTCTTTTTTTCTTCATTCAGAAATAGATCTATTCTTTAACTTTAACCAGATAAATAATGAAGCTTGGTAAGTGTTATAACTTGTCAGTTGAATGCTGCTTGTCTTGGCTCTTCTAATGCTACTTTTTAATCTGGTCTTCTCTGATTGTCATGTCAGAAACGTTTATCACTTATACTCGGAACGAGGGACCTCCGCAATTCCCACGACACGAAAATAAGAACACAAAGATTGGTATGAGCGAAGATTTATTAACCCCAAAACATGATGCCGACAACGACCCTAGACAAAAATACACTCATTTATATAATGATTGTACACCTATTTTGATTAATAATTAAGATGAAATCATATATATGAAAAAAATATTCACAGTTATAACAAATCACATATTGAGCATAGTTCATGTAAATTGAACACAAGAATGTCGTATATTATACAGAATAAAATATCATACGAGAAAACAAAACCAAATACCACACTGAATAATCATCATATTGAATCAGAACGTAAGTAATATTGAATATAACTCATAATGAGTAAATCAGTAGAATTTTGACTTTTCTTTCCATCATAGCAGTTATTTAGTTGTCCAACTGTTTAGATCATTAGTAAATGTTCAACCAAAAGTATAAATTTCTGATTGAGATCATGAACTGATTAATGATAGATCACCGCATCCACGACCTCGCCCCTGCGAGATTCGAACCCAGGACCTACTGGTTTCGCACGCGAGCACTTAACCAACAGACCACTGAGCCAGCCAGCATTCAGCGGTGTTAATGTCTAAATTCAACTAATCCACGAAATTGTGCAACACATCCACCATTGTCTTCAATGAGTTACTATCTCACAACAGACCTGGTTGAACTCCACTTGTCACTACTTCTCATTAGAACTCCAAGATATGCCTCTTGAAGCCAGCCACTAGTGAACATATGTTGATTAATATCAGAAGGGGTTATTTTGTGGATATTATAGTAATCTCAATGGTTCAGATCATGAGTCGTGTATGCGCACTGCTGAGGAGTCCCACAATAGGACGAAACGGCCGTCCAGTGCTTCCAGGTTTTCCATGGTGGTCTAGCTTCAACTGACTCATGATCTTAACCATTGAAATCACTATAATATCCACAAAACCCATCTGACAAAATTATTAGTGTTGATATGACTCATATGGAATATTATCTTGAATCAGCTTATACGTTAAGTGAAAACGTTAAGATCCATGATCAGAATAAATATGGCTCAGATAGGGTGAGATAAAATAGCGCAATTACAATTGGATCAAATGCTTAATGAAAGACTATATTATGTAGAAAATTATTAGTAATATATAATAAGGAGGGATGAATGCGAAGTGAATGAATCATGTATTGAGGAGATTGATAATGACGTTTAACCAATAGTAATAATAATAATACAAAGATTTGTGAATAAAGATAACAGAGACAATTACATTTAACTAAAAAAGGTCTTTAGTACAATAGTTAAATTAGGTCATTCAATAGCTAAGATTACGATTAATTCACTTGATATTGTTTTACTTGAATCTTCCCATTGATGTTTAGGACTGCAATTGATCAGTCTCTTATTGGCATATGTGCATACTGTGCGTATTGCCTCGATATTGCCTTAATTTACAAGCATTATCGAGGCAATACGCACAGTATGCACATATGCCAATAAGAGACTGATCAATTGCAGTCCTAAACATCAATGGGAAGATTCAAACAAATGAAAAACAAAAACAATATCAAGTGAATTAAACTTCACCCCATTGCACAAGCAAGTGACTATCAGGACTCAGTAGCTAAGTGGATAACGCGATGGCGTTTGAAGCGGACGGTACTGGGTTCGAGTCACCGAGTGAACATCAACTCTGAGATGCAGGTACATCCAGCTGACGAGTCTCAAATAGGATGAAACACGCGTCCTGGATTCGACTGCTAGCCACTATCCATCTTTGCTTATAAGATTATGATTGATTAATTGGCCTTGAGGTTAGCCAGGGGAAGAGGAGTGGTTGAAGATATTTCTTTTGTACACATAGCTTCGGTTTCTTAATCCGGATGACTACTGCTTCAGCCGTTTGAAGAACTTTAAGTCTGACAAGCTTTGGCGAAATTTTAATGACCCTATAAACAATTGAAAAAGAATTGGTTCATACTGGCACTGACCAGTTTGTACTAAGTGGGCTAATATTGAGCTGTTCACTTTCTTCATCAAACCTTTGTTAAGCCACGTTGAGAGGTGTTCGTGAGCACGAAAATGTAGATTCCTAGGACTTCGGTCAATATAACTTACTCCATAGGAGCAGTCGAACTGATAAATACAGAATAAGGTAGTCATTCTAGATAATTCATCTTTTAGCCTCGGTGTCACCATTGGGAGCATAGAAAACATTAATATAATTTTGACTTATCATCCTGTCATATCAGTGATATCTCAGGTTTGTTTAGATTTGGTAATCCATAAAATCTTTTGCAGATACGTGCCTACTAGTTTAATAATTTCATATAAACGCGAAGAAATAATCCATTGGTCCCTGAACTTCTTCAAGAATCTGGTTAGCTCATTCTCTATCTTATTATTGAGGTCTTTCTGGTCATCACATTTTTCAGATCAACTCCGTCTTCTCATTGTTCTATCTAAATTTATAAAAGGGACTAATTGCTCTAAGGTATTTTTTTGAAATTATGTCTACACAGTATAGTCTTCCATTAAACATTTGATCGAATTGTAATTGCAATATTATTTCTCTCAACCTATCTAACCCATATTTATTCCGATCATGGATCTTAGAATTTCACTTAACGTATAAACTGATTCAAGTTAACATTCTACATGTGTCATATCAACATTAACAATGGCGACACTATAATTTATGGACGAGCCAATCAGAAGCGTTCCAGGGATTTCAAGCTCGCGGCGCCAATTTCAGTACCTGATGTTCACGTACGATCGGTTCGCAGAGGATTTTAGAGAAGACGTAATAACTGAGCGGCTACAACAAATGGGACTACTAAGTAGCTTCTTTATTTGTAATTGTGGTAATCAAATGACCTGTGGACCTTGTGCAGAATACAGTGGTGATGTTGTCTTTCGGTGTCATATATGTTAGAGGAAGAAGTCTGCTAGAGGAGGAACTTTTTTCTCTCGATCCTGACTGAGACTAAGGTAAATTATGATAATTGTTGCGAAATGGATAATAAAAGCAGCAGTAACACCGGCTGCAACATTCACAGATGATATAGAAGCTTCGGCTGTTCAGTAGTATGAGTATTGCGTAGATATATGCGTAATAAAAATGACAAGCTTGCACAACCGAAGTGTACACAAACAATACTGAAGTTATGTGGTCGAGACTGAAAGAGTTTTTGCGAAGTTATATTTCCAGAGGCCGACTATTATTGGATCCATATGGATGAGTTCCCCTACCGTATGTATTGCGACTTTAGAACCTCTGGACCTATTTCTGTCCATGACAAGTTTTTGAACCATGTAAAAGAAGTGCATCCACTTTAATTCCTTGGTTTTGTATAATATATTTTTACTCTATACTAACTGTTTTCTGATTAGTTAATATTTCATAGGGTCACTTAAGATTCAAAGTTCGCCTATAAATTACAGTCTCGCCGGTATTTCTACTACCTGTTATCATATAACATTTGAATTTTGTATGATAACCTAAAGATCATCTCCTCGATTCTCATTAACTCTTCACCAGAATTTAGGTTTGTTAGATGATTTATTGACTTATGTTCAATTTAGAATATTGAATTTTTTTCATCATTAGTTTAAAATAGATAACCACAACAACAACTGGTTGACGACAACGTCAAAACTTGGATAGATTGAAATCTTAAACTGTAATACATTATGATGTGAACAGAAAAAACAAGAAGTCTTGACAAACTACGGAAGTTATTTCAGTTAATTCAAATCTTGTAAAACAGTATTGTTTATTTTTGTTCCTAGTCTATTCTACAAATTATAAGCTTTCGTTTGATGTATGATTCAATGCCATAGCGCTTTTTGTTGCAAAGCTATTGTAATTTAAACGTAATCTTTTGTACTTTATTTGCTACTGTAATCCCCAGTTTTGGGCATAATTGTATATTCCTAATTGTTTTTGAGTGGGTGGTCTGGTTAGTCATCCATTTATTCATGCATCTTTTTACACTAATCTAGGAAATCCGGAACCAGATCGGAATTGGGAATAATTCGTGTAGTGTTCCAGTAGACTTATGTTCTCTCACTCTCATGATTGTTAGCCAATCACATGATATAACAGTTTTCGTCTCCCTACCTCAAGCATTTGGTCTCATTTCGAACTCACGCATACTAGCCTCAAGGTTAAAAGAGTCAGCCTATGGCGTCTGTCTTAATCTAGATTTATACAAGTTATCCTATGCATAGTAGTGGGCAGACAGATCAAGAACGTAATACATCGGATTTGAACTCACTAGTAGAATCGCATCACAATTAATGTAATAATCATTTAGAATGTTTCGACTTATATACTCAATAGATTATAGTACTTTGTAAGTTTATATCAAAATTTAATTGAAGTTAGAAGAAAAAAAGCGACGTTGGAAATTAGTAATCATCAGTGTTACATAATCAATTACAGTTATCTCAATTGTTTCAGAATAATTTCATTTAAGCAAAGATGAATAGTGGCTAGCAGTCGAATCCAGGACGTGAGTTTCATGTTATTTGGAACTCGTCAGCTGGATGTACCTGCATCTCAGAGTTGATGTTCACTCGGGGACTCGAACCCAGTACCGTTCACTTCAAACACCATCACATTATCCACTTAGCCATTGAGTCCTGATAGCCACCTGCTTTTGCACTCAGCTATGAGATTCAGGTACATCCGACTGACGAGTCCCAAATAGGATGAAATACGCGTCCTGGATTCCACTGCTGGCCAATATCCATCTTTGCATATAATGCTTGTGACTTAAGGCTGTATCGAGGTAATCCGTACATGATGAACATATGCCAACATGAGACTGATCAATTGCAGTCCTTAATAACCATGTGAAGATACAAGTAAAACAGCACCAAGTAAATTTCATTTCATTTATCTTTTAGATTATTAAATAAACTAGGTTAATCAGTTAGTTATAACTAACTAAAGTGTTTTCGTCAGTATATAAATGAAGAATTCCATTTTTAGGTGAACTATTTAGTAATTCCATGAAATATGTATCTTCTTACTTTTTTTTTTAAACACAGAACTCAATCAATAATTGGTGATGAAAGAGATTTATTGAATATTTTTCACTGAAAATTGATTTTTTGTTGTTGCTTTTTTCTTTAAAATAATGTTAATTATAATTTGATTGTTATATCTAGAACTTAAATTCTTTCATATATCGCATATAACTTGAGCACTTAAACACTAGAACCTTCCAAGTTACAAATGAGAAGATAATAGACGAGTGAAAGGAATGTTATTCCAGATAACGTCAAATATGTTACAAAATTTTCAGGTATTTATAATTTTTAGTAAAAACGAAATCATCATTATAATCATACAGATTATTAGCATTTATCCAATAGGGAAGCTACATGTAAAGATTCTGGAATATTCTTCCAAAAGATGATTGGATGGGATATCTTTGGCTCTTTCTGAGCTTCTTAGAACTAGAGTTAGACAAATTATAAATATATATATATATATATATATATATATATATATATATATATATATATATATATATATATATATATATATAAACGATGAAGATAATGGGTGAAATTGTAAGAATTTCGTCTCATGGCATCAACCCATTAACACATTTAATACTAGATAACAAACTGGAACTGTTGTAATGAAAGGGAGCACAGGTGAGGACAATCAAATTACAAAGTCTCTTGTTAAAAACTGAGAACTATACAGTAAATACATCATTTGCAAAATGTCCATCAATTGTCTCAGACTTTATTATTCCTTCCTTTCCATACCAATCACTTTATATTCCCGTTCTTTTCTATTAGATCTCCTCAACATTTTGCTGCCAGGTATTTTAGTTCTGATTGGTGTGATATACTACTTTTGTCTGTCGACATAAACAGTACACACCACAAAACGTATGACCACTTCAATTACCATTATGCACTTTAAAATATGTTATATAAAAACAAAAACAAAACGATTACATAATATATTTCATCTATATGAAAATTTCCTTTACAGTAGACAGATGAATGGAAAGATAGATGGAACAAAGAGGTATTCATTATCAATTGGTTTAATAGATGTTGATTTTTCATTTCTACATTTTACAATTTTGGTACCTACAAAACGAAGTAGACACTTATTTGCGTCAGTCGGAACAAATGGGTCTAGGTCATATTCAAAAGTAAACAGAAAATCAATGTAATAAACATATATGATGCTAGAAAACCGTAAGTTCATTAACCATAATTAATGAAAGAGTGATACGAATTCCTTGAATTAGACAATACAGTAAATCTTGTTATATGGAATGAGGTAATAGTTATATAAAATCATGTAAATTCTATATTAATACAGTAACATCTAATTCAATTTAATAGTTATTTACTGTAGTTATACAGAAGGTTTGAATTTTAATGAAAATCAACAAAACTAATGTAGTAAGCAAAGATGATGTATCGTGGTTAGCACTGAAATCCAGGATGGGTATTTCGTCCTATTTGGGACTTGTCAAACGTATTTACTTGTATTCCAGAGTTGATGTTCATTCCGAGACTCTAGATCAGTACTGTTCGCTTTAAATGCC